TTTAAGGATGTTTCCTCCCTTGAAGTTATGTAAAAACTAATAAAGGCAGGATATAAAAATCTAATAAATAAAATGGGCTTCTCCCCCTCCTTCAATATCACAAAGGTGGAAATGTGGCCCTAACCGTGTCTTCTCTCTCTCTCTCTGTAGCCGAACCTCCAGCTCCTTCTGCAGACTCGGATGGCCCGAAGCCCCCCCTGCTTCCGATTCCCAAGGGAGACCCCTCCTCCCACCTCAGGAAGCAGCCCCCACCTCTCCCTGTCCAGACCTCTGTCCAGAGCACCGATTCCTCCGAGCAATCCCCCCAGGGCACGGAAGGGGCCCAGGCCCCACGTTGGACACCCAGCGAGTCAGAGAGCGTGGGGGACACCCCTCTCAGCCCGCTCCTGAAGGGCAGCTTGAGCGAGGAGCTCAGCCACAGCTTCCTCAGCCTGGCCCTGCCGGAGTCCAGCAGCCACAGCCGGCGGGAGAAGCACCACTCGGGCGCCGAGTACCAACCCCTGGAGCCCCGTCCCGAAGGTCCCCACAAGGCCGGCTCGTCCGACAGCTGCTTCAGCGGCACCGATAAGGAGACCCCCAGCACCTTGAGCAGTTACCGCAGCGAGAAAACCAACTCTACCCACTTGGACAGCCCTTCCTTGGGGCCCGGCCACGAAGAGGGGGTCCCGGGGGAGGAAGCCGGTCCCTCCTCGCCTCCCCCGGCCGACGGGGGCAGCGACACGGACGCCCTGTCCGACAGCGAGCTGATCCGTTCGCCCGAGCTGGCTTTCCTGGGGGAGCTGAGCTTCGACACCCAGAACACGTTCAACTCCCTGGAGACGGTCAAAGGGGACGGCGAGGCGTGGGGGGGCCCCAAGCCAGAGCAAGTGGTCCGGCCGAAGGATTTGGGGCTGAAGAGCCGGGCCCGCCTCTCCCGGAAGCACGGCAGCTCCTACCTGCCCATGCGCACCCTCCTGGACAGCAAGGCCTACACCGAAGGGTTCTTTGCCGACGAGGACTCCAGCGACTGCAGCGACCTCAGCCGGGCCTCGAGTTTGCACTCGCAACACAACTACAGCTCAGACAGCTCCTCCAGCACCTCCTGCTACTCCCCCGAGCGCCACGCCCCGGCCCAGCACAGCCGGCACGGCGTCCCCGTGGCCGAGAGCAAACCCCCTCCCCCTCCGCCGGACAGCTCTGCGCTGCCCGCCATGCCCTGCCATTACGCTCAGCGCACCGGGAGCACCACCAGTGCCAAGACTCACGCCCGGGTGCTCAGCATGGACAGCAGCAGCCAGCTGGCCGAAGGGAAGCCTCCCGGCACTCTGACCGTTTCCAAGTCGGACCTGGAGTCTCATGCAGGGAAACTGACCGGGGAACAGGAGCTGGGCAGTGCCGTGCGCAGCCAGTCAGCCAACCAGCCCGGCTGGCGGGGAGAGTTGCAAGCCGAGGGGGCCATCGGGGGAGGTAAGGCCTCTTCAATGGGGTTGTGTTCCCGACGGAAGGCACTGTTTGTAGTTCAGGGTTGAAATGTGGGTGGGTGTGGTGGTGGTGGTGGGGTTTCTGGGTGGGAGTATCTGAATTTGGCTGCTTTCCTGCAAACATTTCATGACCCAACTAGGGAAGATCATCAGTGCTGGAAGGGAGTGGGGTTTGGAGAAAGAAGGAGGAGGGAGGAGGAGGAAGAAGAGGAGGGAGGAGGAGGAGGAGGAAGATGAAGGAGAAGAGGGAGGAGGAGGAGGAGAAGAAGAGGAGGAGGAGGAAGAAGA